TGTGCTTTCTGTGAGAAACTCACTTCAAAGACAATGAGATATGATCAAGATGTAAAATGTACGAGTTCCCCGAGATGGATGTAATTAGTACACGCAACAGATGTATACTATACTAATAAAAAAAAATTACAGAACAAATAAAATGATGCAGATCCATCAAAAATAAAAGGAGAGGAAAAATACATCATAAAATGGATTGACAGCTTCTTTAACAAATACACACCGTGCTTCCATCCAGAGAAGTGGAAACCTATATCCACACAAAACCCAAGTGTTAGCAGCAGCTTTATCTGTAATAGCCTCAAACTGGGCAACAAACTTTCCAGTGGCAGAATGGTTAAACACACTGGTTGGGCATGAAATACTGCTGGGAGATGAAAAGAAACTGATGACTGGTCCACCGCCACTTCCTGACATTTGATGCTGACGAACTTTTAAGCCTCCCCCTCCTCCTCCTCCCTGTGGGCCCCACGTCTGGACAAAAGAATGAGAATGCCCAAGTGCTGTTGTCTTTGGTGCCATTTGGCGATCAAGGCACACGGGCCCTACCGAGGCGCCAACCACAGTGAAGCCGGCCGGTTCCTGTGCCGTGCTCTCAGGCAGTGCTGGACATGCTTGCGAAGCCAGCTCCGCTCTCTGGGCAGTTCCAAAGCTCCCTGATCCCGTGGGGTCGATCCCGCATCAGCACACTCAACATCCAAAGCAAACTATGGGTGGAGGCCCCTGCTGATTTTTACAGGTCCCTGCTTAACAAGAGCCAACTGTTGATACCTTAACTTGAGTAAGGAGGGCTTTATGCTGAGTGAAAGAAGCCTATCTCACCAGAAAGGGTGCCCCTAGAATCCCAGCAACTCAGTCAGCTAAGGCAGGAGGTCCCCAAGTTCAAGACCAACATGGACACCTTGGAGAAATCCTGTCTCAGAATAAAAAAGGCAGGGGCTGGGATATGGGTCAGTTGTAGAGCACGCCTGGGTTTAATCTCTAGTTTCACCCCAAAGCCAGCCTCAAAGGGCCCCATGCTATTTACTTTTCTATATATGACATCTGTGTGACAAAATAGCAGTGGAGAATGTGGAAAACCAAATTAGTGGTTGCTAGAGGGAGGGGTGGTGGGCAGGGAAGGATGTTCATGTGGCTATACGGTGACAACAAGGAAAATCATTGTAGTGATGAAATAGTTCTGTGCCTTGGCAGTGGTGGTGCTTAAGTGAACAACAATAAAACAACAGGCTGTCAACACACAGTAACAAGGCCAGTCTCCCAGTTTTTGTTTTTTGGGTTTGTTTTTTTTTTCCCAGAACTAGGGATTGAACTCAGGCCCTTGCATTTGCCAGGGAAGCGCTTATTCTACTGAGCCATCTCCCCGGCCCCAAGTCTCTCAGTTTTGATTGTGATACAGCCTATTAACCAATCAGAGCAATATACATGCATCTTATAAATATAGCATTGGTTCAGATGCATGAAAAAGAATATTTACAGTATTATTTCATATAAAGATCTGAGAGGCAAAACTCAATTATACTTTTAAAGATGTGTAGCTCTATAAACCTATAAAGAGTCACCAGGTGTGGTGGCATATGCCTGTGATCCAGCACTTGGGAGGCTGAGGCAGGACGATCACTGAGTTTGAGGCCAGCCTGGGCTACATAGATTCAAGATCACCCTGAACTACTTAATGAGACCTTGATTCAAGTAAAATAAAATAAGCTACAAAGAAGTTAAGAAATTAATGACCATGAAAGTGAGGACAGAAATTACCTCTGTGTGGAAGAGGAGAACGTTATGGTCTGTAAGGAGCACGTGAAGAACGTTTTTGCCCAAGTATCTTCATCTGGGTGGGAGATTCACTGTGTTCACGTTAGGATTAGTCACATGCTGTGTGGGTATTACTTCATGCACCACTTTAGCTTACTTCCTGAGTTGATGTTTGCAAATTGCTTATGGGGAGTAGCTTTACTGCTAGTCTTTGCAACCATTAGGAAATGACTGCTTCTCAGAGGAGTCTTCCATGAGTAGCTGGCTTTTGGGTTTTGAGTCTGTTGCAAAATTCCACCTCATATATTTACTGGGGATAAGTTGCTGCCTATTTGGCCCACCTCCTGGTTCTCTGGCACTGGCTTCTAGTATTATTTATGATCCTTAGGCAATCTCAGTCTTGGAATACCAGGAAGAACAACTGATTAGAACCACTATGTCACCTTGGATAAAGTAGTGCAGTCAGCAATAACAATGGTGTTAAACACAGCCTAGAAAATGACAAATTGCAGTAGCTATTAATTTATCACCTTTAACGGTATGAACTAGATTTGTGAATATATAACAAACCTAAAATGAACCAGAAAATTGCATACAGTTCATATGTCCTCAATATTGTGGTTTTTACCTTCAAGGGAGAAAATTTAAATAGGGTTATAGAAAAAATATATAAAGATAGAAGATTTAGAAGCAAGGCTGTAGGACAAAGGAAGATTATACAACCTTTGGGAAACTGGTGAAGACAAGAGGGAAAGAAGGAAGAAATAAAGACAAGAACAGTAAAATAAAAAAAAAAGACTAAGTAAATGTTTACACTTCTAAAAACAAGAACAATCAGGAAAAACAAAAACAAAAGAGAAAAAAAATAAGAAAAAGTTCTCTTCGAAGCATGTCCCTGCCATCAGTAGTACACAGAATGGGCAGCTGGAGTCCAGATCCATATTGATTAATCCCGCACACCATCCATGGATTACGGCAGGGTAGTGGATAATCCCAGCAAGCCTGCACCTTCAGTTCCAACAAAGATCAGGCTGGTTTCCGGCTGTGACGTGAAACCCTCTTTGTTCAGCCCACAGCACATGAGCCACCCCGGCACACAGGCACCCTGGCTCAGGTAGAAAGCCCCGCTGGCCTCCTCCTGTGCTCAGCTCTCCTTCTGTGCTCTCCCCTGGGATTCGGTGTCTACTTCAGAACCGTGCTGGGTCCCAGGAACCCACTTCCCTTCTTGTCTTCCGCATGTTGCTATATTCCAGGGTCAACACCAAATCTCATGCACCATTTTGTACATGTGCTCTTTTACAGTAAAAAACAGTATTTTTTTAGAAGTGCATCAGTAGAAGGATTGACTGTGAAAGAGTAAGGATACATTTTCTTGTGAGATAGACGAAAGGAAGGAGGGGCCAGGGAGATAACTCAGTGGCATAAGTGCCTGCCTGGCAAGCATAAGGTCCTGAGTTTGATCCCTGGTACCAGAAAAAAAAAGAAGAGAATGAAAGATAAAGTATGGTGTAAACCAAAGGGAAGAAAGTTGCAAAAATAAAGGGGGGTGGGGAGGCTGGGGAGATGACTCAGTGGAGCAAGTGCTTCCCTGGTAAAGCACAAGGGCCTGAGTTCAATTGCGCCAAAGAAAAAGAAAGAAAGTTGCATTTTCCCAGTGAGGCATAGAATAAAGCCAACACGAGAGATCTTAAGGAAATTGCCAAATATTTAGAAAAGGTGAACAGGACTAGAGAGACAACCAAGCCTCACTGAGTGAAGGGCATTACCCAACAACTTGGAGGCGCCGGCCAAACTGATGACAGAGTGCGTTTCTGATTGCCAGTCAGAAAGTCATCTAAGCAGAGTGTCACGGTCTTCAGCATGCTCTATGAAGCCACGGAAAATATAGTAGTGGTATATTCAGGAAAGATATATGTTTAAATGAGTTAAATGTCTAAGAGATTTATGTACTATACAGGTAGATATTCTGAGAATTTAGGAAGAAGATCAGAGGAAATCCAAACTCTTGAGGTGAACATGATCAGATTATCATACCATGAATGACTAAAAAATATATATATATATATATATATATATATATATATATATATATATATATATCAAAGAGCAATCAGCAGAATTTGGCTTGTCCTCAAAATTATAATTTAATCAGAAAAAATAACAATGTGTTGCTAGCACCATAACTGGACTACATATAGGGAAAGTATTAGACTGTTGAAAACTGAGTGAAGGCTATCTGGTTTAAACTGAACCTCTCAGCCAGGCCTGGTGGTGCACGCCTGTACTGTCAGCACCCGGCAGGCTGAGGTCGAAGCATCGCTGAGAGCTTGAGACCAGCCTGGGCTACACAGTGGGCTCAAGGCCTGCCGAAACTGCATAGAGAGACCCTGTCTCAGAAAGACAATCAATCAATCAATAGAACCACATACTCAGACTGTGATTTTCTTATTTTAGGAATTGAAATTTATCTGATTTGCTAACTAAATATGTCATTGCTTGTGTGCTTATTTCTCCAGTTCTGTTTTATCTGTTTAATCTTATTCTATCCAGTATTCTAACAAGCAGCGCCATCATAACATTCGCTTTTATTCAGATGGGCCAGTTTTACTATTCAGCCAAAGCTTTTGATGTCCTGGAGAGGCTGGACCCCAACCCGGAATACTGGGAAGGCAAACGGGGTGCGTGTGTGGGCATTTTCCAGATGATCCTCGCTGGCCAAGAACCCAAGTGAGTAAGCACAGGGAGGTGACTCTTGGGTCACTGTATGAGGTAACTCGTGGGTCGCTGTGTGAGGGAAATCTTCTGAATGCTCCAAATTATAATGCTGTCTTAGAATGATGACAAATATGAAGGTGTGAAGTTTTTCAATTGGGCCATTTTCTTACAAAAAGTGCCTCATTTTTATAGAGTCAAGTCATTCTAACTCATGTCTATGTGTATACCACCGCTCTCAAGCCTAAAGGCAAGATGTAGGATGTGATTAGTAATTGTTTTTCTTCTACCTCCATATATTCCAGGAAATGCTAAAATATTAGATTGAAACTAGTACGAAACTCATTGGCTTAAAACCTCATCTCAATAAAAATTAAAACATTTAAAACTAAATTTAGTTTTCTAAAAAATAACTTCATGGGACTGTTTCTGTTACTTGTGTATGAATAGTTAATTTAATGATATTATAAGCAACGAATGTGTGAAAAATTACTTCCTGCCTTAAATCCATATCCAATCCTAAATAAAGATTTGAAAGCATTTGGTCAAATGAAAGATGTTGGTTTGGGTTAGAAAGAAGTAGAAAAATAAGACTGACGGGTACAGATACATAGGCATTCGCCCTTGTTCAATCTGGAAAGGATCAGGGACTTTCAGTGTGTATAGTCATAGCCCATCACTCTCCTCTCTTCTATATTTGTTAATGTGTTTGGACCTTTCTTGACCAAATTTCTTAGAGAAACACCCATTCCTCTGCCTTTGTAAAACTTTATAAACATAGTAGAGCTACCCAAATTTAAGGTGGTAGTTACCACCTTAAACAAAGGGGCCATCCAAGACTCAAATTAAGTGACTAGATAGCAGTGGAACTAGAACTGGAATTCAGCTCCGTGAACTTAACTCCTGGATATATGCTTTCTACTCTGTCATGTAAAATAAGTATAGAAAATGGACAATTTAGATCACAAAGCTTAATGACAATAATGGAGGTAATATAAATAAGCAAAGAAAACATGGGTAGATAAGGAGGATTTCACAGGATTCCCATTCTGCTGTGCCACTTTAGGGCTAGGGGGCGCGGAGCTTGCATTGGTTTATTCAGTGGGGGAGTCTGTTTTAACAGATGCTCCAGTACGAAGCATGGTATAAAGTTATGAGTTTGTTTGTTTACTTTGCCTTTGAGACAGGCCCTCACCATGCAGTTCAGGCTGGCCTTGAGCTGACTTTGTAGCCTAAGCTGGTCTCGAACTTGCAATGCCTCAGCTTCCTGAGTGTTGGGATTATAGGCGTGTACCACGAATTTGCTTTTCTAATTTTCATTTCTTTATTGAAGTACGTTATCCTTTCAAATCTTTTCCTCAGAGAGACCCTCCGAGAAGTGCTGCACTTACTGAGAAGCACGGGTAACACCCAAGTAGAATACATCATCCGAATCATGAAGAAATGGGCCAAAGAGAACAGAGTGCCTGTCTAAAATAGCTCCGGGGAGCAGGTCCGAAGAGCCCGCTTCTGTGCTTCTGTAAAACTGCAAATCACTTTCTTCAAGCTGAGATAAGACTCAGGGTTCTCTTCCACTGGCACTTCCCTCCCTTGGCTTCAGGCCGGGAGGGCGACTGCCTGTGGACGCTGCCTGAGTGAACGAGGCGGCAGGTGGCCCTGCGAGCAGTAAGACTTCCGACTTCTCCAGTGCCTTTCTTCCAGAAATCCTGGAGCGCGTTCCTCCGTGCCCTGCTGAGCTGATGGGGAACTCCAGGGCCTTCGTCTCTCCCTCTCTCCAGAGCGTTCCTGACATTTCCTCCCAGCAGCAATAACGGTGTTTCCGATGCTCGAGAATCACCATCACCCTCCTGGCCTGCTTTTAGCCATCTCTGCACATTTCCCTTTCCAGTGGGGCTCCCTGAAAGACACCTTCGAGACCTGGGAGAACGGAGACTGTAACCAGCCGGGGACCCTAGCAATGGGAGGAGGCGCCTGTATGGACTGTCCAGTCATGAGCAGGTAACAGGCGCTGGGGCCTCCGCGCCGGGATTAAGCTGTTCCCCAGAACATGTTACAAGGCAGCGAGAGGAGCACTGCAGAGTTTTAAAAGTGAGGGCTGTGGATGTCGCTCTGTGGCGGGGCATTTGCCTGCCATGCACACGGCCTTGGGTTCAATCCCCAGCCCAGGAAATAAAGTGAGTACTACGGAAAAAATATTTGTGTTGTGCCTCAGTAGGTATTCAGGCAAAAAAAAAAAAAGTCTATACATCTCATTATTCAGTTCTCCATTATAGTTTAGATAATGAAGCAGATTAAGGTCTTCTTAATATTTCTGCTGAATAAACCTCCATTTTGAAAGCTGGCTACAAAGTGAAGAGAACCAGAAAGGATCCCTCCCGAGAGGCACTGAGGTTAGGATTCCCACAAGCACTAGTGTGTTTCCACCTTTTCCCCAGCATGGCGCTGTGGCTAGAACTGGTGTATAGGTGGAGCCAGGAACACAGCAAGGCTGCAGCAGCCTAGGACCGGAGGAGACCTGAGGCTGGAAGCAGCCTTCTCCCCTGGGCGGCCGCAAGGAACTCTCCTGCGCAGCTCAGGAAGGGGGCCAGCCTTCCTATCTTTCCTTAGATTCAGCTCTAATCGGGTCAGGGCACAAATCAAATAAAGCTGGCCTGAATAACTGAATTCTAGGAAACAGCGCTACGTCATTTTTCATATGCCAAAGCTTCTGTTTCCTCTGTGCACTGTTGCTACATTTTCAGTAATAACTTGCTCAGCATCAAAGGTACTAGGTGGGTCAGATTTGGGCGGAACCTGTACCATGTTTGAATCTGTCTGGCTTAAAATATTTGGAAACACTGTAGTGAAAGGGGCAGACTGAAACTCCTCTGGAGCTTCTGGTGATTAAATTTGTCTTCCAGTGAATTGCTGTTAATTTCAAGCTTCCTGAATTTGAAAAGCTTTTCCACTGATGGTGATTTCCTTCTAAATGAGCTTTCATTGAATTTAATGCTCAACATTCTCTTGGGCATTTTGCTATCTTGTGGAGGGGAACACCCACATTTTCCAAACACAGCAGTTATAGACTAATTTTTTAAAAAATTTTAATCTGTAGGATTAAGCCAGAAGTACAAAGACCAGCGTAAAGGGAGGTGGCATCCTTGTGTTGAGGGTCAGCGCTTCTGCTGTGTCCTGACAGCACCTCTGTGCGGTGAAGGCCTGGCCTAGGAATGAGGTGCTGTGTGCCGCAGGGGGCGCCAGGTACTCCTTACAGCCCATAGCGTATATCACTTACACGTGGGAAAAATCTTTTGCGATTATTTTTGTACCTCAGAAGAATTATTGCATGCCACTGTATTATATTCAAATTTAAGTTTATTATTTAGTTCCTATCATGACGTTCTGTTGTGCGTGATGAGCACAGGGCTGAGGTATGTCATGTGCCACCTCTCCTTTCTTTGCTGACCCCCCATGAAGGTAGAAACACAAAGCGTTGGCCCCACAATTACTGTTTACAATAGAAGCGAATAGATATTCCCTAGGAAACCCTTTCCACGGAGAGCCTGGTGGTCCCACTCCATCACGGGAGATTCGTTGCTGAACTGCCTCTACTCAGAGGCTATGTGACACACACAGAAAGCTCTCAAATTCTTGACTGAATAGATGTGTACTTCTCTTAGAACAAAGAACTTGCGAGATCTGACCTCATATATTCCGGTTCCCGTCTAATTATTGTTTTGCTGTAGGCTAAGCACATGCAGGCTCCCAGGGATGCTAAGCTAAACACAGCCCTGGCCCTGAAGGATGGCAGCCTAACAGAAGCGCAGGGGCCACTAAACATGGATGGCATCAGTGTCGTCAGCAGGAGCAGAGTGAGGGAGAAGAAGGCAGCTAGATGCTTGCGTCCATCCATCCGTGTGTGCGGGACAGCTCCTGCCTCCTGTGCAGAAGGAATGGAATTCAGCCCCCGCCCCAGTGGCAGCCGAGATGCGCCAGCTCCACCAGGTGCTGGCCAGCTGGGCACATGGCAGCCAAGGGGCTGCTGTCCTCCCCGGGTGGGGAACACTAGCAAAGCTTATACGTGTCCTGTCACAGAGCTCAAAGGGTAGTCCTGCGCATTCACAGGTGGTCTCAGAGCAGCAGCGCCAAGGCCTCATGGTGCGCTTACAGCCTACCTTCATTCTACAATATACAGATATAAGAAAGGACACAAAAATGCCCAAGGAATGCCATCAGCTTATGTACACTGTGTATAACAAGTTCATACATTTATTTTTATTTTTTTTTAATTTTTGTTTGTGTGTGTGTGTATGTGTGTGGCCAGCTCAGCCCACCAGGGGGCGGGGCTGGCTGGCATGTGGTGCTGGGGGATTGAACCTCGGTCCCTGTGCTCTGCTAAGCTTGTTCTAAGTAGGTGCTTTAGACCACTGAGCCATCTCGCAGCCCCAACAAGTTCATACATTTAGCACCAACAAAACTTTCTTTAAAGTGTATGCCGAGGGGCTGCTCTAGTGATGGGCTCAGGAAGACAGGGGACCCAGTAGGTCCACCCTGAGGCACCCTCACAGGTAACCCAATTTACAGACCTTGGATGTAAGAAGTACTTCGCTAGGCAAACCTCAGGTGAGAGGTCATTGATAACTGAGTGCATTCGTCCTAATTTACCATATTTGGGTTGTACTCGTTTATTGAGTTGGTCACTTATATCCCGTGCATTCCAGAACGGATCTGAGGTATGTAATCAAAATATGTCCAATGATACCAACAGTCAGAGCAAAGGAAGGCACAGGGGAAGCTAATACATAAAGCTATTTATTGCAGAATTACTAAGAAGATGGGACATGACACCCATCTTCCAGCTTTGCGGCAGCCACCACAAAGGTAAAATGCAAGGGGGTCAGAAGTTAATAACCACGCGCATGAATGAATGAACTGAGGGGAAGAAAACACTTCGAGTTTCTGTGACCTGTGGTTGCACATGCATTTCTGAATGTTTTTCTGCACTAAATTTGGACATACCTATATGAAAAAATGTCAAGGGAGTGCCGGCCAGATAGCTCAGCAGACTAAAGTGCTTGCTTAGGCAGGGGCAGCGACTGAGATTTGATCCCCTGTGTGCCATGCAGGCCCCGCCCCAGGGGCGTGCTGAGACAGCAAATAAGATTGAGCGGGGTGCTCACCTATAATCCCAGCGCTTGGGAGGCTGAAAACAGGAGAATCACTACAAGTCCAATCTGTGTAGTGAGACCCTTACTACACAGGGACCCTCCCCACCGCCACCATTCCCCCTTGGTCCTTCTCTGGGGGGGGTCCTCCACCCATCCATCCTCGGCCCTTCTTCTACCCACAAGCCGCTATGGTCTGTAGTATCACATTGCTGTTTCTGCCTGTGTCCTGTTGGTGTGGGGCCTCTAGTCTGGCCTCTCCGCTTCTCCGTTCCTCAGGTTCTCTCTCCCCATCCTGCCCCAGGCCCAGCCTGGGTCCTGGCTCTCAGAAGGTCCAGGAGCTCTGTGGGGCTGCCTAATCGACTTCCACCCTGGCTGAGCTGGGGTACGTGCTGCGGGGCCCTGGCTGGTCCACCATCACTCTTCCCAGGCCAGCCCATTTGTCACTGTCAGTCACCGTCTAACCATGATGCCTTAACACATGGAGCGTGTGCTGGGGGACTTCTCTAGCCCTAATCCCATCTGCATGAGCATGTGGCCTCCCCAGGCCTTCACTGTCTCTGATCCTGCTGACCGGGGCAGCCTGGGGTGTGCTGCCCTTGCTCCTGCCTAGCCTGCCAAGGCTGGCCAGCCCCTCTCCCTACTCCAGCTAGGGCTCGGAAGGGCCAGAGGGCCCATCAGGGAGGCAGGTGTGCTCTGCCTTCTCTGTGCCCTCCCCACTGACAGCCCTTGGTGGACAAAGCCAGCTGCTGAGCCTTACTTGTCCCCTGAAACCTTGTGCCTGGCCTGTCAGTATTCAGTGCCTCCACTGTACTATCCACTGGGCCAGGTGGCCTGCTGCCTCTGCCCTGGCTCTTGGTGCCACCATCCCAGGCAACCCCTCTCTGGACCCAGCCAGGACAAACAGGGGACCAAGTGCACACAGTTGGGGGCTGTTTCTATGCCTCCCCTCCCCCACATGGTGTTTGGTGTTTGTGGGGTGCAGGCCTTGACAGACAGGGGAGCCTAACCCTGCCTCTATTCTGACCTAGAAATGAACAGCCCTGAAGGAAAAAAATTTGCAAATAAATAAAACTAGAGAGATAATGGGTTGACTTATTTACTGAGAAATTCAAGGGAGGAAAGCACCATGAGAGAAGTCTAGACAGAGCAAGCTGCATGGGAGAAGAGAGTCTTAAGGTAAAATTTATCATACAGTGTGTGGCATGGTGGTGCACACCTGCAGTCCCAGCACTTGGGAGGCTGAGGCAGGAGGATTGTTGCAAGTTCGAGGCGTACCTGGGCTACAAAGTGAGCTCAAGGCAAGCCTGAAATGCATAGCAAGACCCTGTCTCAAAAAGACAACAAACAAACAAACAAAAGACTCACAAAACTTTAAGTATATTATAGAATTTAAGAATAAATAAATTATTTCAGAGAAAAGGAACAACATAAGCAAAGCCATGGGTGAAATGTACAGATATTTAATCATAACTTTACTAGTTCTAGCCTTTATTTGCATACAGATTAATTTCTTCCTTGAAAAACAACATGCTTTATCTTGTCAACCCCTTTCACACACAACTTGACAACTCCACACTTGGCTGGATGCCCACGAGACATTCCTGTTCATCAAGAAATGTGCAGAAGAATGATCTTCTAAGAATCCTTCCCAGGGAAAACCTGAGGAAACAGCTCAAGATACTTTAAGAGTAGTGAGATACCATCAGGAGTGGGAGGAGGTGGGCAGGGTAGATATACACCCACAGACAGGAGAGTGGATAAACAAACCCAGGAAAGGTCGGAGTGGAACATCACCCAAACCACAGCATCTTGCAACAACATGAATGGATCTCAGTGACATATTGTTTACAGCTATTGCCTTGTATATATTGTTGTCAACTAAACTATACACATACATTCCAAAGGAGAGTGGGAGACCACAGGCAGGATGGAGTCATCAAGAAAGGGGGACCCTGAGGCAGCAGAGTAAGCCACACAGATGGGTACAGATTGTCAGTAAATTCTAGTTGCTATTTGGATGGTGAGTTATATGGCGTATCCCTTAATAAACTAAGGATAAAGATACTATTAAACTAATATATTAAACTAGTATAATAGCAGTTAATAAATAGTTAATACTATTAAACTATAATAGTTTTTTGTTTTTGCAGAACCGGGGATTGAACTCAGGCCCTTGTGCTTGCAAGGGAAGTTCTTATTCCACTGAGCCATCTCCCCAGCCCTAAACTATAACAGTTAATAGGACTCAAGGATGATATCTGAGTCCTGAACCAAGATTGAGACCAAAGTAATTCTGTGCACCTGAGGCAAAACATCATTTTAAAAAAAAAACCAGCATGTAAATATGTGTTAGAAATACTTGCAAATCGAAACAGGGATTATCTTCAAAGAACAGAGTTGGGTGTACTCTTTCCAGTTTTTCTGCAATACACATTGTTACCCAAATTATTAGGGAAATGTCATTAAATTTTTATAAACTGTTTTTAAGTAGAAGAAATCTTGTTGGGCATGGTGATGCACACCTGTAATCCCAGCACTCAGGAGGCTGAGGCAGGAACATTGCCATGAATTCAAAGCCAGGACTACAAAGTGAGTTTAAGACCAGCCTGAATTACAGATGAGATCCTGTCTCAAAAGCAAAAAAAGAAGAGAAAAAGTCTTCAGTTTGCACCTAACAAAATAATTCCTTCATCTCCTCTAATGCCTACTCTTTATTTGAATCTCCCCCTTCATCTTCAGATGACTTCCTAGATTTAGGATCCAAGCCATCGCCCCTAGCTTTCCTGTCCCTGTTCCAAACCAGTGTTTGAAATGGACAACCTTTCCCCCCTTTTCCCAAGCCACTGATTTGGGGGACCCAGTGCCATCGATGCATGGAATGCCCCACATTCTGAATTCAATTCATTGCAGCCTCAGAAAATGTTTGTTTGTTTTTGGTGGAACCAGGGATTGAACTCAGGCCCTTGCACTTGCCAGGGAAGTGCTTATTCTACTGAGCCACCTCCCGGCCCCAGACTCGGAAAAATGGTAGAACTTTTTCCTGCGTCTCTCACAGTGCCCTTGAACTTCCAGTTAGGTCCAAAGGGCTAAGTGGATCCAAGAGTAGTTATTGTAACTGAGAGCGGGGGAATCAAGGGGGGAGGGGGAGTAGGGGGGAGAA